AAGGCAGGGTAGGCTTCCATGGTAGGCTGGGGTGTGGGCAAGCAATGATCTGTCTGTGCGGAGGGCTGGCTTGACAGCAGAATTGGAGCCTGAGCAGTGAGGGGAAATGTGTCTTGAATGGGAAGTGAGTCCATGAGCCACAGCCTGATGTGAGACTTCAGAGCCTGAGAGGTGACAAGGTCAGCTGTGCATGAGAGTGGGCAGGTGCAGAGCCTCTGAGCTGAAGCAGGGGGAGAAGGCATCCATGCTTGAGGCCCCTTCTTGTTGGAAGTCAGAACCCTAAATGAGTGAGTGAGCAGAGGGTCCTCAAGGCCAGCCTGGTGTGACACCTCAGCACTTGAAGGAGGCGAGGTTGGGCCCCAGTGCAGTGTTAGCTGAAAGTCAGGTTGGGGTGAGGAGACTCAGCAGACTGAGGGGAAGTTCCTCACAGAGGGTAAACCAGGCATGGATTCCAGGAACCAGGCAAGGTACAGAGTGTGGGAGTGAAAAACACAGGTGGGAACTCAGTGACTTTCAAGAGATCGAGGAAGTCCTTGCTGGGGTGAGGAAGAACTGGGTGTCAGAGCACAGGCAGGTTAAGGGGGGTATCCATGTGGTAAGTCAGTGCTGACATAGGTTCCAGAGAATGAGCAGGGTGAAGACCTTGTCCCCATGTGGTGGGACAGTCTAGGGTGTGCACTAGGTGCCTTTAAGTTTAAGAATGCTTCTGTGCATGGGGCGACTTGAGTGTGGTGTTAAAGCTTCAGGTAGGCTAAGAGGCAGCTCTTCAGGTTTTGGGAGTAGGAATTACAGCACAAGATGGGAAATGGAGGCTTTATTGTAGAGATCAGCTCAGACCGAGTGTCAGAATCTCAACTCTGTGAGGAGTTTGACTTCTCTAATGGCCTGGTTCCTCTTTTCCATTCCTTCCTCTTTTCTTCTCTTGCCTTTGAATTCTTGGTATCTCTATGATTGTATACAGATCCTGGGTGTGTTCTCCACCTGCAATTCTCCCTTTGCAGGTCAGGGGACTGCACCTCATGGTGTATGCTCAGGGCAGCTGTCTGTTGGTGCCTCTCATCCCTAGCTGGTATCGGGACAATTTGCTGCCACATTTATTTCTCATTCAGGATCTGTTTTAAAGAAGGGATGGCATACATTTTGTGAGGGCAGGTTCTCCACAGGTTTTCAGAAAACATTTATATTAACAAGAACCTCAGGAATATATTTGATTCCACAGACATGGATGCAGACTCTCCTCCAGGTAAGAAAGCATTTTCTGCTGCTCCTAGTTAGTGATGATGTAAAGGACAAAGATGATGTTCACCACTGGCCATACCTCTGGGTCACTGGAGTCTCAACCAAGTGTGTTG